GGCGTTCATGGGGGGAGGCCACATTCACTTTAGTCTTTGAGGGACCAGAGTCATTGGGTCACTTGAGCTGGCCAGGAAAGCTAGAGCATGAGCCTGAGCTTCCGTGTCCTGTGAGCCTCTGCAGCTGTCCATGGCCACCCACAGCTCTCACATCTTGGCATCTGTTCCTTTTTCAGGGCCCTGAGCACCCCAATCCAGGAAAGCCGTTCACTGCCAGAGGGTTTCCCCGCCAGTGCTACCTTCCAGACAACGCCCAGGGCCGCAAGGTGAAGACCCGTTGCCCCCATCACCCCCCACCGCCGTGAGCTCTGCTGGATTCACCTTAATGTGGTAGAAGATGGGGCCCACCAGGACCCCCGGGGAGTGGGCCAGCAGGGGTGGGCCACTGTGTTTGCCACTCCTTTCTAAAGCATTGCTGTGGATCCAGGAAGAGGCCACCAGGATCCAGGAGAGGCTAGGGTGCGGCTAGGGCGCTTGCTTAGTCAGGACGTCCCATGGGTGGGATGGGGTCAGATGGCTGGTCTGTCTGCACTGAGACCTGAACAGGGACTGTGCAGCTATGAGAAAGTCTGGAAGCGCCTTCCAGGCAGATAGAACAGCTGGGTCCAGGCCCCAGGGGGAGGCGGTGGGATGCTGGGCTGGCTGCCTTCTAGGCATGCCTTGGGAGGGTCCTCCAGTTTGAGAAAGTGCTCTGGCTGCTGGGAGGTGTGTGCTGGACTCTATATTTTTGTGCTGCTGGGAGTCAGGCTAGGACCTCACATAGGCTAGGCCTGAGCTGCACCCCAACCTCGTGGCTGGGCTCTTCCGTGGCTGGATGAGGAGGGCAGTGAGGAGGGAGGGAAGACTCAAGGTGGCAGCTGGGTCGTCGCTGGAGCGGCTGCAGAGTGGTGGTGGCTGCCAAGGTGGGGAGGGCAGGGCTGTGGCCAGGGCCCACGGGAGACCCTATGGGGCCATCCCATCAGCAGTTGGAGTTCTGGGGGCCCCACAGATGGGATCCAGGGCTGGGCCTGGGTGAGCTCATCTCCGGCAAGAGCAGAGGGACAGGGCCCGAGGGGTGCCACTCATGGGCCCTCCCTTCTCCTCTGGCAGGTCTTGGAGCTCTTGAAGGTGGCCTGGAAGAGGAGACTGATCTTCACAGTTGGGACGTCCAGCACCACGGGCGAGACTGACACCGTGGTGTGGAACGAGATCCACCACAAGACAGAGATGGACCGCAACGTGACAGGCCATGGCTACCCCGACCCCAACTACCTGCAGAATGTGCTGGCCGAGCTGGCCGCCCAGGGGGTGACCGAGGACTGCCTGGAGCAGCAGTGACCCACCAACCCCCCATGGCCACCTGGCAGCTGCCCAGCCCCATGGCTGCCTGAGCTGCCCCTGGGTAGCGGGCAGGAATGTGCCTTTGCTGAGAGGCCGGAACCTTTGTGGGGCACACGTGTGCCAGGGTGCAAGGGGCCAGGCTTGTGCCTGCCCTCCCCCTCCTAGTGGCGGAGTTCTGTGGGAGTCGGCAGCCCTGGGGCCTTGTCCTTGTGGGGGCCAAGATGCAGCTACCTCAGTGCAGGGACGGGCCCTGGGGCTCTGGAGGGCAGCCCTGGGCCCCAGCGCCCAGGCCTGGCGTGGGGTGAGTGCAGACCACCCCTCCCTTGGCTGGACAGGCGTGGGTTCTGAGTCAGCTTCTTATACCTCAGATTTTGTTTGCAATAAAGGCCTTGTAGCCAAAGTCCACAGGCTCTTGGTGTTTGTAGCGGATGCAAGTGTGTGAGGGGGATCTGCCCCCCATGCACAGGCCCCGTACATGTCCACTGCGCCAGGGCGTCATGTGTACTGCTTGTTCAGCTCCCATCTGGTAAAGGGCGGTCTGCAGAAGCTGGGGAGCACACAGCACCCTGCCCTGCACAGCCGCTCATCCACAGTGGCCCTGGTTTACATAACACTGGTCAGGTGCTGCTGTCTCTGGGTTATAGATGAGGACACAGAGGGTCAAAGTTTCAGTGACTGGCCCAGGCGGAGCACCAGCCGGGAAGTCTTGAGGCCATCCTCTCAGTCTTGACCCCTGTGGGGGAAGGAGCAGATGTCCCCAGTCAAGGAAATCTGTCCCCAGTTAAGGGACAAGCAGAGCCACGTTATGACTGTGATGGACTAGAGGCACCACTACTCAGCCTCCTGAGTAACTGGGATTACAAAGGTCTTTGTGAGCCCTTTGTAATCCCAGTTACTCAGGAGGCTGAGGCAGGAGGATCTCAAGTTCAAGCCCAGCCTGGGCAACTTGGGGAGGCCCTGGGTGTATGTAGCTCAGTGGTAATGTACACATGAGTTCAGTCCCTGGTACAGCAAAAATTCTACTTTACAAAACAATACCAAGATGGATATATTAATACATTTAGAGACAATAATCACTGAGCTACATCTAAGCCCATTTTATTGCTGAGGATCTCAAGTTGTTGAGGTTGGCTTCAGACTAATGATACTTCTGTCTCAGCCTCTTGCATTGCCAGGATCACAGGCAAGCCCCACACTTGGCCCTCTGGTCCCTCACGTCTTGGTGCTTCACCATTCATTGAAGGACACAGAATCAGGATGGAGAGCATTCATGAATCACATATCTAATAAGGGTCTCATCCAGAATATTAAAAGAACTCTCAACACCTCAAATGACCAAAAAGCAAAAAAACTCAATTTAAAAATGCCTGGCACAATAGCCCACCCTTGTAACCCCAGCAGCTCTGGAGGCCAAGGCAAATTCAAAGCCAGCCTCCGCAAAAGTGAGGCCCTGAGCAACTCAGTGAAACCCTGTCTAAGTAAAATACAAAATAGGGCTAGGGGTGTGGCTCAGTGGTCAAGTGCCCCTGAGTTAAATCCCTGGTCTTGTCCTAGTCCCCCGCCCCCCCCCCCCACACACACACAAATTGAGCCAGGTGCTCAGGGCCCTGAAAAAGGAACAGAAGCCAAGATGTGAGAGCTGTGGGTGGCCATGCACAGCTGCAGAGGCTCACAGGACACCAAAGCCCAGTCTCATGCTGCAGCCTTCCTGAGCTGGAATTAGAACAAATTTAAAAATAAATAATCAGAACAAATTTTTAAAAAATGGACAGCACTTGCTTAGCATGTGTAAGGCCCCAGGTTGGATCCCAAACACTGCAAAACAAAACAAAACAAAAAGGCACAATGTCACCTGCTTACACCTCCACCTGCTTGGGTGGTTGAAACAGGAAAGTCACAAGTTAGAGGCCAGCCTTGGCAATTCAGTTAGACCCTGACTATAAATGGGCTGAGGGGGGCTGGGGATGTAGCTTAGTTGGGAGAGTGCTTGCCTCACATGCACAAGGCCCTGGGTTCAATCCCCAGCACCACAGAAAAAAACTGCTGAGGGGCTGGGGATGTGGCTCAGTGGTAGGGCACTTGCCTAGCATGTGTGAGCACCACATGTAAATAAATAAATAAAGGTTCATCAACAACTAAAAAACATCAAGGGTGGGGGCGGCAGGGGATATAACTCAATGGTGTTACATTGAGGCGCTGGGGGCACTTGCTGAATCCCCTGGGTTCCATCCCCCAGAACAGCAAAAGGGAAAAAAATCTCTGGATGGTCGGCAAGCATGTGGAAAGGGGCCCACCCCCACCCCCAGTGGCTTTGTGGAAGAAACACTGGTCAAAACCACTTTAAGACAAAGTAGCAGTGGGAGAATGTAAAACAGCTGCTTTAGGGAACAGGCAGTTCCTCAAAAGGGGGACCATGTGACTGGGCAGTTCCACCCCAGGGATCTACCCAGGCTAGGATTACTAGATCATGGCCACACAAAAACATGTTTGCAAATGTTCTTGGCAACAGTATTTGTAATAGCCCCAAAGTAGAAACAGGCACCTAACGACTGATGGATACTTATGTATCTGTGTGCGATGGACATCAGGGATGCTGAGGGGAGCCAGATGCAGCCACATGCTGTGTGATCCCATTGCTGTGGAATGCCCATCACAGGCACGTTCATGGAGACAGCAGGCAGATTAGTGGTGGTGACAGCAGCCCGACAGGAAGTGACTGCTGAATGCATAGTGTACGCTTTTGGGGTGATGGCGTTTTGGAATTAGTGGTGATAGCTGCACAACCCTGTGACTATTAAAAACCATCTAACCAAACACGGTGACGCAAGCTTGTCATCCCAGCAACTTTGGAGGCTGAGGCAGGAGGATCACATGTTCAAGGCCAGCCTGAGCAATTTAGTGAGACCCTGTTTCAAAATAAAGAATAAAAAGGACAGGGGATTCAGCTCAGTGGAAGTGCCCCTGGGTTTGGTCTCCAGTACGAAAAGCAAAAACAAAACCACCTAGCTGTGAATTTTAGAGTTTGTGAGTTCTATCTAAAAATATATACCTAAGCCCGGCTTGGTGACGCATACCTTTAATCCCTGTGACCCGGGATGCTGAGATGGGAGGATTGAAAGTCCCTGGCCATCCTCAGCAACTTAGTAAGACCCTGTCTTTAAGAAAAAGGGGGGATGGTGTGCTGGGAATGTGGCTCAGTGGTGAAGCACCCTGGTTCAATCCCCAGTACTAACAAAAACAAAGTGAACTAAATAAATACAGGGCTTGTCCGTCAGTTGTCCAGGGCTCCACGTCCCTTCCTGGAGTCCAAGTCCTCCTTTGGACAAGGGAAAGGGAGCCTCACGGGTGGCAGGGCCCAGAGAAGGCAGCAGGGCCAGGGAGGCTGTCTGGGGGCTGGAGTGGGCAGGCCGGGGCTGCACTGCCCTCTGCCCCCCACTCCTTCCCTGGGTGGGGCTGGAGGTCAGAGGGAAGCTCCTGGCACCCAGGGTGCAGGAATCTCAGATATGTTGCCCTGCTTCCAGGTTTCCTGAGGCTGGCCCTCCTCCCCAGGGCTGGGAGGCTGGGTGGGGCCCCCTTCCTGACATAGGCTCTGGGCCTGCCTGGTGGTCATCTGGGGGCCCAGAGCCCAGCCAGCCCCCTCCCTTTGATGGGCTGGACTGCTGGGGTGGGTGCTGGGCAGGGAAGCATTCACATTTACAGGTCTTTCCTGCCCTCCTGGCAGCCTGACTAACCAGCTCCTCCAGGCCCAACGTGCTGGGGGTGGGGTGCAGCCTGAGGCAGCCAGACCAGCCCCTGAGCTCCCCTTGCTCCGCTGGCCATCATGGGGCCCCCTGGGAGGCAGCCTTGCCCTTGCCTGCTGCTCCTCTTGGTGCTGAGCTGTTTCCAAACCAGCCTGAGCCTGGGTGAGTCGGGGTCCTGGGATGGATGCACCTGGCCAGACCCAAGGCGCTGGGGGCACCTGCTGGGGAGATTGAACCCCGGAGCCCATCCCCTTGAGTCAGGTCTGGTAATCTCAGGGCAGTGGGCCTCCAGGACCCTCAAGCCCTTCTCCACTGCTCACCCTTGTCCCCCATGGCTACAGAACGGATCCCCTACAAGCCACAGATAACAGCCTGGAACCTGGAAGGGAAGGTCACGGCCACCACGTTCTCCCTGGAGCAGCCTCGCTGTGTGTTTGATGGGCACGCCAGCGCCAAGGACACGATCTGGCTGGTGGTGGCCTTCACCAATGGTGTGTGGTGCAGGTCGGGGGCCTGGGGAGAGGGGTGAGGGCCTAGAGGGAACCCTTCACCAGTACCCCCAGTTGTTGGGTGCAGCTGGAAGCAGTGGGAAGGGTGGGTGTGGCGAGGGAGGTGAGGTGGGCTTCAGCGGGGGGGGGGGGGCTCTTAGGGGATGGCAGAGTCTGCTTTGTCTAGAATCACAGGGAGGGGGGTGGTGGAGGTGGTCAGGGCTGGAGGCCGTGGCCAGGTGGCTGAGGGCTGGTGGAGGCAAGACTCCTGGTCAGCAGGAAAAGGTCTGTCCCTCCCTTCTTGCCCCTGTCACCCTCCATCCTCCAGCCTCCAGGGATTTCAGGAACCCACAGACCCTGGCTGACATTCCCCTCTCCCCACGGATGCTGACCGATCGCCACTTCATGACGTTGCCCCTGTCCCTGGACCAGCTGCCCTGTGAGGATCCAGTGGGTGTCAGTGGAAGCTCCCCCTTGCTACGGGTGGGCAATGACTTCGGCTGCCACCAGCAACCCTACTGCAACGTCCCTCTCCCTGGCCCTGGTCCTTACAGGTGGGTGGTCCCCCTCCACCCTGCCTGCCTCCCCCCGCCCCCCCCCCACACGTCCACTGCACTGGGATTGGGCTGCGCCCGGGCAGGAGGAGCTTCTGGGGAGGCAGGGTGCAGAGCCGGCCCCTCCCAACCGCCCCGCCCAGTCCCAACTGCAGGGTGGCACGAGCCCCTCCCCTTTCCTGGTCTCCATTTCCCTCCTCTGGAGGAGGGGGCAATAGTGCCGTCCCATTGGGTACCAGGCAGAAAGAGGCCTTTCCGGAGGCCCCAGAGGGGTTCAGTCAGGGGGCCTCTTGAGGTCGCGGTGGAGTGTCTCCATCCTCCCTGCTCCCTCTGCCCCCTCGGCCACCCTTGCAGGGCCACCGTCCCCACAGCCACCCCCGCTGGGCTTCTAGCCTTACTCGGTGGGTCCCAAGATGGTCTAGAGTTCCTACCCAGCAAAAACACTGAGTCTGCCCACAGAACCTCTGGATTCTGCACTCGGGGCAGGCCCTGACCAAGACTCCCCGCCTTTGGCCTGGGTGCCTTTGTAAGAGGGTGCTGAGACCTTCCTCCCTGCCCAGAGCCACTGCCCAGATGGATGGAGACTGCTGGTGCAGGTCACATGCCCAGAGAGGCCTCGGCAGGTCCTCCTGGTAGGGCCAGACTACCACTGGTCCCCGCGCATGAGAAGGGCCCCACCCAGCACAGGAGGGCCGCTGGGGACTCTGCTGAAGGTGGCACCGTGTCCAGGGCAGTGGAGCCCTCCGAGTCTCACCCCTGCTCCCTTTCTCTAGTGTCAAGTTCCTCCTAATGGACGTCGGTGGCGCACCCACGGCTGAGACCGAGTGGTCAGATCCCATCACTCTGCACCAAGGTAGTCCTGGGAGCTGGGACTTCCTCTGTCCTCAGGGAGCTCGCCGGCCTCTCTGGGCCACCTGCTCATCTTCCGCAGGGGCACTGGCTCTGCCAATCCCCAAGCGTTTGCCAACCCTTGGGTGCCCCACCAGCTCCTGTCACAGGCAGAAATCTTCCTCTTCCTGTGGGACCCAGGCCCGGGCCTCCTTTCCTGGGTGTGGGGAGAAGGGATTGGGCATGAAGACCAGAGTCAGCATCAGGGCTGGCTGGCTGGGGGTGGAATGGAAGGTTCTAGGGGCTTCTCTGAGCTGGGCCCTGAGGGTGAACACGGGCCACCAAGCATGTGCAAAGACCAGAGTGTCTGGGAAGGGAGTTGCCGGGGAGACGGCTGCTAAGGCAGTTGGGGTGGGGAATCTTGTCATCTGAAGACCTTGAATGCTGGGTTCCAAGGAGCAGGTAATATGGTCCCCTGGAGGTCTGCAGCCACTCTGCCTGCCATGTTCCGGGCAGTGTGGGGCAGGGGTAGGGACAAGCCCAGCAGGTGAGCCCAGGGTCAGGCTGGAGTGACAGATTACCGCTGAGATGAACAGACGGGTGGGCTTGGGAGGCTGTCTGGGTTTATGAGGTGTCACGGTGGATGGGGAGAGAGGGAGGTGACAGAGCCCTGTGTGCAGGGAAGGCCCCAAGCTCCATTGACACGTGGCCGGGGCGGCGGAGTAGCTGTATGATTGTAATCGCCTCCATCCTCTCGTCCCTGGCTGGCCTCCTGCTCCTGGCCTTCCTAGCAGCCTCTACAGTGCGCTTGTGAGTGGCAACACCCCATGGGCCCTCTCTCACCCACAGCCCTTCCTGGCCCTGGCCCTGGCCCCCGGAAGCCTCCTGTCCACACTGTGGTTGGTTCTCAACTCCTTGCAGGGAGGGTGCAGGAACTGCACCTGTCCTTCTGTCACCTCGGAGGCCATGAGGATCCAGTAGTTCCCCTGAGGACTGGTTTGGGGGCCTGCCTCCCTCTGGCCCTGTCCTTCACTGTGTCCTCTGCCAAGGCCCCTCTCTCCTGAGCCTTACGTTTCTCTGTGAGCTCGTGGGTGTCTTAGCAAACTGGTGCCAGCATAGGCAGTCAGAGTGGTTACCTGGAAGAGGCCAGTTCTAGAAAGGGCGGAGAGGGAGAGCCGAGGCCCTGGGGTGAGGGTGCGGGGAGGGGAAGCAGTCCCCCACCCACAAGGGACATAGTGCCTCTTCCTCCTCCCTTGTTCAGCTCCAGCCTGTGGTGGCCCAAGGAGGCCCCTGAGCATCTGCGGATCGGCTCCTTCATGGGGAAGCGCTACGTGACCCACCACATCCCGCCCAGTGAGGCTGCCACACTGCCTGTGGGCTGTGAGCCTGGCCTGGACCTCCTCCCCAGCCTCAGCCCCTAGCCTGTGGCCTGGGTCTGGGCCTAGTGGGCAGGGAACAAAATGCAGGGAGCGTGTTCCCCACCCCTGTGCCCACAGGCCTCCTGGGGCTCCTGGCCTCTCCCCAGCATGCTCCAGCCTGCCAGGACTCCCCTCCAGCAGCCCCGGGCATCTGGAAGTGACTTTAGGAGGGGCCGTGGTCAGGCTGGGCATCTGGTCCCGCCTCTGTCCCTGTCTCTGTTCTGCCTGACCTATGAGCACGGCTGGAGACACGTGGACCGGCAGCCCCAACCCAGAGCTTGCAGACCCCAGGAGCAAACCTTCGAGAACCTGGCTCTGCCCTGGGTAGAGCCGAAGTCACCCTCTGTCACACCCTTTAGCTGCAGCTAGGGTACAGCCTTCAGAGGCATCTCTGCTGGCCGTGGATACTGGTTCTTTCCAAGGGTGGGAGTCACCTGCCAGAAAGTCAGACAGTGTTGATGACATCACGACTATCCAGCTACAGATTCCGGTCACCATTTCAAATCCCTTTGCACACACAGATGGCCACACACTCATCCATTCATCCCACATCATTCATTGAGTACCTGCTGAATGCCATGCACAGTGTTAGACTCGGTAACTCAGGAAGAGCAGGTCCCCATCTCCGGGAACTCTGCTCTGAACCTTCTGCTCTGAACCTCAGACCACCGCGTGTCCAGAGGTGACTTGTTACTGTTGTGGGGTGTCATGCCCTTCGACTTTCACTTGATCCCCAACTCACACATCCTTAGACAATCACCCCATGGACTCTCCGAGGCCCTCAAGACCCCTTCATCAGAAAGGTTGCAATGCAGACTCCCAAGCTTCTGTCCGCGAGGCGAGTGGTTCCCGCCATCGCCACACGGGGGCGCCGGCGCGCCGTGGCCAAGTAGCCGAGGGCCCGCGCGCATGCGTGCTCGTGTCCACCGCCCCGGCCCTGCGACCCCAGAGCGATCTGTGGTGGTCGGGGCTTCTACTGGCCAAGCCAGAGAGCGTGTAGGGCGGTCCCGCTGCCGCCTGAACGCCTACTCTGCAGGCTTCGGCCCACACAGCGGCGGCGATTTCCTCCAGGAGAGCTGAGCCTCGGTGACATGCGCACGCACTCCTTCCAACCGCTGCACCCCACCCTGTGTTCCCTGGGCGCTGCTCCCGGGCCTGTCTGACCGCGGCTCCCAGCACACAGGCCCTTGCCCGCCTCCTTTGGAGGTGAATAAATGTGGTCTGGCTTCTGCATGACTGGAGTGACGCCCGCTGGCAGTGGGACGAAAGCACGTGGCCCCAGCCCCCCTGAGGAGGTCCCTGGATTGCTGTCCCAACTGGTGCTCCATCTCTTAAGCCACAGAGAAACCCATGCATGCAGCAGCAGTCCATGCTGGGTGTATGATTCCACTCAGCTGCTTTCTCCCCAGTCTCACCCTCCCGTGGGAAGTCTTTAGAAACTCCTGAGTCCCTCATCTCTGAGGTCTGTCCCCCATCCTTCCTGCACCCCACCAGCCACAGACCTGCAGGTCTGGATGGAGGCAGTTTCAGTCCAATGCCCTGGTGGCCTGGGAGACATCTGGCCGTGGAGCCAGCCCCATTGGGTGACAACTTTTGAAACCCGGCCTCTGTGGAGCCTCTTGGGAGGGGGTTCAAGGCTTCCGTCTCCTGGACCAGCTAGCCCGGGCAGAGTCCACCTCACACTGCACTAGCCCTGGAAGGTAAGATAGGGAAGAAGATGCCCTGCTAGCGTTTGACATGTGAAAAGATAAGTGACCCCTCCCAGACCCAAAGATCAGCTAGGAGCAAGAATAGCCAGACTCTGCACACCTGGGGTCCTCCCTATGCTGGGGCTGGCCTCTGTGTGGATCCCAGATGCAGCCCCAGTGATCCCTCCCTGCGAACAGCCTCCCTGACCACAGAGACTGCCTCTAAACAGATGTGGTGATAGCATGGGGTGAGGACTGAAGGGGTAGCCCAGGGGAGTCCAGGGGGATACTGACCTCAGCTGAGGGTCAAGGGGGCTTCCTTGCTGATTCATTGGGGTCATTTCCAAGCTGATTCTGGAAGGGCAAATGGAAGTCAGTGGAGCACAGCAGAGAGAGCTACTCAGAGAGACCAGTTGTCACCCTTGCAGTGGCATGGATGACGCCAGGGGGTGGCAAAAGACTGAAGGACAGAAAGACACAGGCATGAACCCGCAGGTGAAGGGGCTGGAAAGGAAGGGATGGATTCCAGAAATACTCAGGTTGCCCTAGAGTTGAGGGATGAGCGGGAGGAAGGAGGCCCTGCCGGGGTTTCTGTTAAGGAGAAAGGCGTGAACACAAAACCTAGGCCCATAGGCTCTGAGATGTGGGTACGCCACCCCAGCAGACCCTGAGAAAGGGCTTCCGGGAGTGCCATCCTAACAGCTGAGGGGACCCATAGGGCATTAACAAGTCGCTAATATTTTGCAAAGGTAGAAACCTACCTTAGGACAGTTGGAAGCCACTCTGGGAGGCCGCTTGACCTGGGTGTTCTGACCCTGGCTGTGCCCACAATCACACCACGGCATCCCAGAATCCTGGACCAATGCCCAGGCACAGCGGGGCCCTGGGGAGCTGGGCCAGGGCCTTCTGCCCCAGAGTCACATGCCAGAGGGGCATCAGTAGGACCTGAGCCCAGCGCTGGCCAGCTTGGGACAGCCTTAGGCAAAACACAGAGAGAGGACCATGACATTTAAAGAGACTTTTAGTTAAGTGGCATTATAAGTGCTTCCCAGGATTGTATTTGAGGAAGTGCTGTGACATCCATTGGCCCCAGACTTACTGGCTCAATGGTTAAAAACAAGTGCATTATGAAAAAGGAAAACATCCGGGGGGGAGGGAGGTGGTGACTCGCAGATGACTCATCAGGTCCCAGATCAAAGGAACCAGGACAGGGCAGGCAGGAACAGGCCATCTGGACTGCCTCCCTCTCTCACCGGCTGCTGCCACCTCACCTCTGCTCGCTCCACCATCAGTTCCCTCATCCCCACAACCTCTGGCCAGCCAGCCACCCTCTCTCTGGCTACACTCCCCACCCCCAGACCCATTAGCCTCCCAGTGTCCAGGGAGGCCAGACATGTTATATGGCTGACCACGTTGAGTCTTTGCTCCTAACTTTCAGGGACTTCATGCAGCAAGCACAGAGTCTAGATTGGTCATCTCAGGTTCAAGGGTCCCAGGGCCCCATCCCTTGCCTGATGTACAGGCCCTTGTTTGGCTTCTAGTGCCACAGGACCTTTGCACATGTTTCCCTCTCTTTGTAGAACACTTTCCACTCCACTCTACATCCTCAAGTCCATTCCTCAGCTCCACTCCAGCACCTCTTATTCAGGAAGGCTCTTCCTCACCCCTCAGATCTCCTAGACAGCTGTGCTTCTTTCCCTCCCAATTAAATTTTGCATTTTGTAAGTAGACATAAAACTGAGCCTTTTGGGGGGTGCTTGGGATTGAACCTTGTGCACAGTCAGTACACCCTCTACCATTGATCTACGCCCCAGCCCTTGAACTGTGAGTTATTGTACTACCAACTCCATCTGGGAGGGCAGAGAACACCCATGCCATGTTTGCCCACCAGGGCCCTCACAGAGCCGCCCCCTAGTGGATGCATAACTATTTATTGACCAAAACACCTTTTAGAAAAGGACAAAGCAGTGGGAGGGTGGCTGTCGTCCAGCCAAGCCCCAGAGAGAGGCCTCGTGAGAAACCAGACCTGCTCAAAACTTGACCTTGGACTTCCAGCCTCCAGAACACACATTTCTATGGCATAAGCCGCCCGGTGTGAGGTCATTGGCTGTGAGACTGATACACTCCACATCATGCTGTCCTGAAACCTGGACGGTGGGATGCCCAGGATGGTGTCAGCGATGGAGATCGTGAAGTGATGGAGACCGTGAGTGACAGGCGCCTTCCAGGCAGAAGGAATTGTGTGTGCAAAGGTTTGGGGCCTGGGGTGACGTGCTGCCCAGGCCAAGGCCTGGCCCTCACCTGCTGCTGGCCCTGGCCCAGCCGTCTGCCCTGCCCCCCGCCATTTGAGAAGGTGGAAAGCACCTGCAGCCCTGCCTGCCTCCCCCGCACAGCCCCTGCCTCCCCCTCAAGGGGCGTCCTGGCTTCTGGGAACAGAACCCAGGCAGCAAGACAGGGGCAGAGGCTTCTGTCCTTGGGCCTCATTTGCTGTGTGAGCCCGACCAGGCAGCTGGGCTGATCTCCCCTGGCCTCCATGTCTCCTCTGTAAAATGAGTGTCCACCCCAGATTTCGAGCTCCTTTTAGGTTCGCCCTTTGGTCTCAGCCTCCCTGAAACTCCACTCCCTGTGGGTGACGCAGGCCAGAGGAACCCAGGGGAAAGAATGCGTTGCCCTTGACAACCATTTTTCTCCCTGGCTTCTCCCCCTGAGGGACTGAGAAGAATGTCCCATGAATCATCCTGGCCTCTCCCTTTTCTTCTCCAGCCCCCTCCTTTTGTCCCCCAGTGGAGGTGGCTCAAGATCTCCAAGGGGGGGGTCTCCAGGATCCTCTGGGCTCAGGTGTGTTGTCCCAGCCCCTGTGCCTGGAGTCCAGCCTGTGGCTCAGGCCCAAGCCCTTGGGGCCAGGGCAGTGGCAGAGCCCCCAGGGCAGGGAAATGGGGTTGGGGGCAGGGGCAGGGGCAGGGTCAGGGGCTGAGAGTGGAGTCAGATCACTTGGAGGTCTCTGGGTGCCTCTTTCTTTGGGGTCTTCTGCAGGCAGAGCTGGGGGCTGATCAAACCCAGCCCAGAAAGTCCAGGGGAGGGGAGGGGAGGGGAGGATCGATGTGGGCAACACTGGCAGTGGTGGGAGCCCAGGGGAGGCCCCTGGCCCAGTCTGGGGACGGGACACATGGGGGACTGGGTGACATCAGAACTAGAGACTTTGCTGAGCTTGGAGTGGAGGAAGATAGGATCGGGAACCACCATGGGCTCACTGAGTGACGGCCTGCCCGGATGAAGAGGTGGGGAGCTGGGGTTGGGAGAATAAGGAGGAGACAAGCCTGGGGTAAGGCGTGGAGGGCCCCCCACCCGGTGGCTGAGCAGTGCAAGGAACGCCCTGGTAGGAGAGCAGGCTGGGTTAAGAAAGTAGAATGAGTGACAGGGAAGGGCCAGGCCAGGACATGGGCCTGAGTCAAGCCTGGGAGCAGTGTTGCCCCTGAATCCCCCACCGAGATGCTCCTGGGGGCAGGGCTGCTGCGGGGGTGGCTGCTAGGTCTTGTGTTCCACCCTCTTTCCCTGATGGCACCGCAGGAGCCAGCATCCAGCCTCACAGGCTTCAGTGCCAAGGGCCTCAGAACTTCAAAGAAACCTCCAGCCATGTGGACCTTTTTGTAAGCTCAGACTTCTGCAAAACACTGGCATTGAAAATGAATTTAAAAAGTCTTTGTTGCCACCATCCTGTCTCAGTGTTGGGAAAACATATAACGGCAGCAGCACCCCAGAGAAAAACCCCAACATAGCGCCTAACGACCCTCTTTCTCCTCTTTTTTTCTTTCACTGGCGCGAAACGTTCCCGCCGGCGCCCATGTTCAAATCCTGCTGGTGGGAAGCCTTAGCCCCAATAAGAATTAACTTCTTGGGCTCCAGAACTGACATATGGAAGAGCTTGCCAGTAAACGGGCGACCTGTTATCTACCTCAGCCCTGCTACCTCTCCTTAGACCTATATAAACCCACAGCCTTTTGTAATAAAGCGGAACCTCTTTGGTGATCTGTGTCGTGTGGTGTCTCCCATTCGTAGTGCGGTGCGGCGTCTTCCAGTCTTACACTCACCCTGACCGCTGCAGCAGCCTTCACCCTGGGCACCCTGGTAGCTATTACCCCTGAATTGGATTGAATAGTGTTTCCCCCCAAATCCATGTCTAACTCAGAAGCTGTGGGTGTGACCTTATTTGGGAATAGAGTCCTTTTTGGTTACAATAAGATCAGACTGAATTGGAGCAGGCCCCAGGCCCAACGCAATAGGTGATTCTCCTCCAGAGCCTTGGGAGGGAACATGGCCTCACTGGCACTGTCCCTCACAGGGACCCTGTGTGTGCGCGTGTGTGTGTGTGTGTGTGTGTGCGCGCGCACGCGCGCGTAGCACTGGGGATGGAACCCAGGGCCTTGCACATGCCAGGGAAGTGCTTTCCCACTGGGCTACATCCCTGACCCCTGCTAATTCTTATGGGTCATGGTCTTTCTCTGCTCTGACCCTGCAGTACTTCCTTCTCATGGCCAAAGTCACAGT